CTACATTGTTCACATTTATCCCAGAGCTTGGGGCAGGGTCTGGCCCATGGTGGGCTTTCCAAAACATATATATACTCTGAAGATAAATATACTATGAGGTATATACTATGAGGTATGGATATATATACTATGAGGGTGGATTGAAGTAACCCATAATACTGAAGATATATATACTATGAGGTATTGCTTTACATAAACTCACATATTACTTTACATTATTACATTAATAGTAGATTACTACATTAATCTACTCTTCTTTATGGACTTTATGAGCTATGAGATTTAAATAACCTTATTTGATTATGTGCTTTATTTAATATTTAAAGAGATCAAGTCCTAAAATACAGTTAAAGCAAATTCCACAACCAACACAAAGGGAGGAGTTATAATGCTTACCGTTTTGTTATTTTTTTGAATACACAAGTCTGGAAATAGCATCCCGGGAATTTTTTTTTTTCTGTCACTGGCCTTCAAATCCCACATACTTCATTTGGACAGAAATCAACAAGGAGTAATCTGGAGTGGAGTGATTGCTTCTGTGGGGCTAACTGTTTCATTATTTGCATGACAAAGGTTCAAAGTAATTATTGCTACTTTGAGTCTGTATATCACATTCTCAGACATCTGGATACAAATAAAAGACTTGAATCAACATCTAGTTGCTTTCAAATATCTGTGTCTTTGATGTTGTATAGACAAAACCTTGGGGCTTTTGGACATGGCCTTAATAGAGTCACAGAGTATGGAGACGCAGTGCAAAAAGGCCTTCCTGTGGATATTCTTTTCCCTATGTGGCATCCTCTGTAGATCAGAGCAGCATTTATTGCTGCTATTGGTATGCAGAAAACACATGTAGATGCAGGGAGAAAAGCAAAATTCCACTAAGATCAGAAACCGATGTATGCTAAAGAGTAACAGCAAACTACTAAAATGTTTTCGATGACTGCATGGAATTTTATTTTATTTTATTTTATTTCATTTGATTTTATTTCTTTCTCAGACAGGGTCTTGCTCTGTCCCAGGCTGGAGTGCAGTGGTGCAATCACAGCTCACTGCAGCCTCAAAAGCCTGGGCTCAAGGGGACCTTCTCACTTCAGCCACATGAGTAGCTGGAGCCATAGGTGTGCACCACCATGCCAGGCTAATTTTTTTAAAAAAATTTATGGAGACAGGATCTTGCTATGTTGCCCAGTCTGGCCTGGACTTCCTGGACTTCCTGGGCTCAAGTTGCCCAGTCTGGCCTGGACTTCCTGGACTCACCTTGGCCTCCCAAAATGCTGGGATTACAGGAATGAACCACCATGCCCAGCCAGAGTGTTGTGCTTTATATTACAGTTGATAGATCTTACATTTCAGAATGTTTCAGAACTCTGTAGATTTTAATATTCCTATTGTTTGTTGCCAAATACAACTAGTCAAAATTCATAATTCTAACACAGTTATAAGTACCAGAAGCAATTACTGGGTTGCATATCATAGATTTTTAACAAATTGGTGTATTAATACAGTTTTGTGATAGAAAAAATCTGCTAATGAATGCCAATTTTACAAAATATGGATTCTCCAAAGCTGGTTTTAAAGTTCTACATGTTGGAGGTTGATAAAGAGTATCCCTTCTGGAATGTTTCATGAAATAAGTATATAGACTAAGTTACAAAAATGTTTTGTGCACCTGGTAAAAGCTAAAATTGTAGCATTTAGTGCATAAAAGTAGAGAGAATCCTAGTGCAGTACTTGCTAGCGGCCAAATGGCTCTGAGACTAAAATACTGTCTCCCTGAGTCTCAGTGAATTTCAGAGATATACAAATCCCCACATACTTCTGCAGTCACCTTTCACAATCTTCAATCTTCAACTCCTTGGCATGATCTCAATGAGTTTTTACACTGCTTCTGAGTTTTAATGAACAGCTTTCTCTTCTTGTTGTCAGTCTACCGTTGTTATGTGTTGTCAATCTTACCATTTCTTCAATGTTTTAAAGGGGCCAGAGTCTTGACAATCTCATCAAAGTGACCCCTGAAGTAAACAGAAGTAACCAAGGGTGAGGACTATGTCTTACCTCTCTTCCTTCCTCTTCCCCATCCATTTGTGTCACTCAGGAAAGAAGATGTGTTGAAAAACCTTTGGATTGGGATCAGAAAGTCTGAACCCCATTACTTACTAACTTGATGTCCTTGAACAAGTCCCGTGAATGCTGAGCTACAGGCTCCTTAGTTATAAAATGAGAATCATAATATTTGTTTGTCTGGGTACGGTGGCTCACACCTGTAATCCCAGCACTTTGGGAGGTCGAGGCAGGCGGATTACTTGAGGTTGGGAGTTCAAGTCCAGCCTGGCCAACATAGTGAAACCTTGTCTCTATAAAAAATACAAAAATGAGCCAAGCATGGTGGAGTGCACCTGTAGTCCCAGCTACTTGGGAGGCTGAGACAGGAGAATCGCTTGAACCCAGGAGGTGGAAGTTACAATGAGCCGAGATCCAGCCACTGCACTCTAGCCTGGGTGACAGAGTCAAACACCATGTCAATAATAATAATAATGATGATGTTTGGTTTTTATCACTTGATAGTTGTTAGGAATGAATGAAATAATGGGTATAAAATCCATTTTT